TGTGTGTGTGTGTGTGTGTGTGTGTGTGTGTGTGTGTGTGTGTGTGTTGCTGGGGGATGAAACTCAGGCCTTTTTGCATGCCAGGCAAACACTCTGGATTAAACCACACCCCCAGACCCTGTAAATCATTTCCTGCTGGGCATGGGAACCTGGTGTGTGCTATAAACATCTAAAGTGCTAAGAATGGGCTGTGGCAGTTCGCCTCCACTCCTGTTCCTGGCTCAGCATCTCTTACTGAAGGCAAGAAATCTCCATGGCTGAAGACATCGAAACCAGGGCCATTGATCTCAGCATTCTCTCTGCAGGCTTCCCAGAAGAGCACACTATGGACTCAAAGCACAGGAAGCTAGGTGAGATGAGCAGGTGATCCAGATGGTCCAACCCGGGGGAGCACAGGTCCCCTCAAATGCAGCACAATTCACGGATCAGAGTTGGGGGTGTGACTATTGTGAACAAGGCCTTCATTGAATTCTAGCATAATAAAGGAAGGAAGGAAAAGCCAAAGAGAGAGACCAAGAGAGGAAGGGAGAAAGGGAAAGGGGGAAGGAGGAAAGAAGAAAGGAAGGAAGGAAGGAAGGAAGGAAGGAAGGAAGGAAGGAAGGAAGGAAGGAAGGAAAGGAGGGAGGGAGGGAGGGAGGAAGGGAGGAAGAAAGGAAGAAAGAAAGAAAGGAAGGAAGGAAGGAAGGAAGGAAGGAAGGAAGGAAGGAAGGAAGGAAGGAAGCAGGTAGCTTAGAGAGGTGGTTACCTGCCAAAGATCACACAGCTATGACAGAGTGAGTGTGGTACAAACTAAGATGAAGTTTCCTCAGCCTGCACTGTGGTGGGTGACTTACTTTTTCCCTAAAACCTCTCCTGGCAGCCTCCATGACTACTCAAGATGATGGAGAGGTAGCATCAGTCCTTAGGGAGCCCCCAGACTGTTCAGGGAGACAGAATCCAACCTACTTCACAGTTCTCCCATTCAGTAAAGGAGAGCAATACCCTGAGCTCCTCGATGAGAGAATGTGGTACAGCCCCTGCCCTTCTTTGGGCAGAGCCTGAAAGCTGAGTGAGCGAGGCACTTAGTCTCCCCAGGGCTCAGTGACACACAGGGGAAGGTGGGAAAGGCTGGAGCTACGGGCCCAGTCTTAGGTTTCTCCAGTCTGACCCTATATTTCTGTGGGCTTTTTAGAGATGTCCCTGGGCCTACCTACAGGAAAGGGTGGGCACTGTTGGCATGGACCAGCAGCTTATTAACTGAGCTACATGGGCCCTGAGGGGGGCAGGCATTTCCCCTAACTGCCAAGAGAGAGAGAGATCCTTGCTGTCCTGGGAGGCCTGCCCCATTCCAGGTGCCCATGCGGTCTCTAACCTCCCCTTCTCCCACAGCTGAGCCCTCTATGGTACCCATGCTGACTGGCAGCTTCCTGATGGGGCCAGCAAACCTCTCCACCGTGCCCTTCCTACCACCTGCTTTGTCCAATCAAGAGCCAGCACCCAGCCACACAGACCTAGAGGGAGCTGCTCAGATGCCTGGTATGTTGATGGTCTAGAGAAGAGGTGCCTCCTCCCTTCAGGCAGATGGTTGAGGAATTGGCACCAGGCAGGGGCTGCTGAAACAATTTCCTCTCCCATCAGGGTCATCCTCAAGGTCCCGTCCCACTCATGCCTGCTGGAAGGCATGCCTAGCTCAGGAGGAAACATCCATGGGGGGGGATTCTACTGCCAGCCTTGTGTCACTTGTCCCCCTTCTTGTCTCTGTCAGCCACCCTGCCAGGTGCTAGGGACACCACCATGGGCAAGACAGGCTCAGCTGCTGCTCCTGGAGAAATGAGAGCCCCATGAAAGGGTGTTGATCTTTCATCCCAGTACAAAGATGGGTGATGTGGACTGCCCCTCTCCTCACTGTCTCTGTCTCCTGCAGTGTCCTCCTCTAGCTCCTCACTGAACTGTTTGGATCTCCCTGCTGGGCATATCCAGATCCTCACCACTCTACCTCAGGGACTCTGGCAAATCTCAGGGGCTGGCGCAGGGCTCTCCAATGTCCTAATCTACCATGGTGAGTGTGCAAGTCCCGCATTGAAACTGACTGCCTTTCCTTCCTCCCTCACCTCTTACCATTGCAGGCATTTTTCAACTCTGACATAGCACCTATTCATAAATCGTCCCTCCCCAAACACCTTCCTCTATCTTCAATCCCCTCTCAAAAAAAAAAAAAAAAAAAAAAAAATCAAAGCACAAGAGCCTCTCTAAGGTGGTCTGCGTAGCTGACTAGTCTTGCAGCCTCTGTGTGTCATTATTTCCTCTCCCCTTAGCTTTTCCTTGTTTAAAAACACTTCAAAAATATTTTATTTTAATTTACCTGCATATGTGCTCAAACACATCAGAATGCGTGGCTGCAATGCCTGAAGAAGCCAGGGGTGACAGGTCGCTCTGGAGTTGTAGTTACAGGCTACTGTGAACAGCCTGACATGGATGCAGGGGGCCAAACTCATGACCACTGGAAAAGTACATGCTCTGAGCCACTGTGCTATCTCTCCAGCCCTTAAAAAACAAACAAAACCCCCGCAGCTTTATTCAGTAACACCCATCACCAAGCCAAACAATAAGAGACTCAAGGATTACCTGAGTGCCTCCTTACCTGAGTGCTGATGTGAACAGTTTGCTGTGCACTCTTGTACACTCTCTCTAAGTTGCCTTGTTTTCTGATCGGTTAAATTGTGCCCATTGATCCACCATACTGAGAGGCTGCCAAGAAGCCTGGGAAGGCATGGCCAGGCTCTAAGGGATGACATGGGTGATGCTTCCACTCAAAACCATAGCCAACTTTTAGGGTCACATGTCAGTTTCTGTATAAGATAAGATGTCCCAGAAGCAAGGGAGCACCTTCTAACATGGAGGGAAATGAGCACTGACCATACCAAGTGAGTGCCAGGAGTGCTGTGAGCCCCCTGGGAGCTGACTGTGCCCACTTACAGATGGGAACTGGATGTAACTCAGAGTTTCCTCCCCAGTTTCACCCTGAATGCCTTCCCTCTCTCCCCACATTCACCACGCTATCACGTCAAGAGCAATAAGAGATTATTTACTCCAAAGCCAGGTGTGAATGACCATGGCTGGGAACACAGATTCAAGGACCCCCAAATGCCACATTCCAACATGGAAACAGCCAAATGAACTTTTTATGGGAACAGAACAAAAAGAGTTATAAGTCAAGGCATCTTTCAAATACATTGGTGGAAACAGCACCTCCTAATAGGATTTTTACAGGAAGTCTTAAGTATGTTAATTTAAACACAGAGGTGGGCAATTAATGTCTGTGGGGGTAAGTGCTAAAGACATCCCAAGACAGTTTGGCTCTGGACCTTATAGCTCTCCACAGGCACAGAAATTCTAACTAGTCAGTCAGCATTTAACACAGATGTGGGGTCCCCTTGGGAGGGGGTTGGTTCACATTGTACAGTTTGATTGAAGTGGAGATGACCCCAGTGCATTCCTGAATGAGTTCCTGATGGTTCTTACACTCTTCCTTACCTTTGTTGTAGGTGAGATGCCCCAGGGCAACCAAGGACTCCCTTCAAGCAGCCCCACTGTCCCCAGTCTTCCCAAATCCCCAGAGCGGCCCGGCTCCACCAGCCCCTTTGCACCATCTGCAGCTGACCTGCCCAACATGCCCGAACCTGCGCTGACCTCCCGTGTAAACGAGACGGGTGAGGAGTGGGGCCCTGAGAGAGACATTGGAAACAAGCAGAGGGCTGGGGGAAGGATATTTCTCAGACAGTCAGAGCCCCCTGAGGGGACAGGCATGCCCCTGGGTGACGACAGGTCATGAGAGGTGCATGAAGACTGATGAAGCAGGGAGTATAACTGAGGCTTGGGCGACAGCTGGAACATATATGTCCACCCAAGCAGAGCACAAGCCACAAGCTCCTGTTGATCCTTAGGGCGTGAAAACAGACCTAGCATGCCTGGGCCTTCTGACGCTGGAAGCCCAAGCTTTACTTGCAGAGCATGTTTTTAATTTTGCTTTTCTTTGCTTGCCCCACCTGACCTGAAACTTGATATATGCCTATTAGATTGACTCTAAACTTGCAGAAATTCTCTTACCTAACCCCCTGAGAGCTGGGATTACAAATCCACAATGCCTGGTTTTACTATAATCTTTGAATCATTGGTTTACAAATGTTTTTTAAAAGTTCAGCTGGCTAAAATGGAGATGTCAGATACAGTCTTGGGTAGCCTTTTTGTAACTTGGTCTTGGAGGCTTGGGCAAGTGGTTCTGCCCTCTAGATGCCCCCACTACTGAGAGGAGTTGTGGGGCTCCCCATACTCTAATCTGCATTTGCCTCTCCATGCTCAGAGGATACAGCACCCTCCCTGGACCAAGAGGATCCTGAGTCTTCCAACAAGCTTCCAAAATGGCCAGGTGAGTGATAGTGGGGTCCCCTCTTGTCCTGGAGACCTGGTATGAAAGTTAAAATAGTACTTCACTTCATTCATGCAATGCTTAATCAGTTCCTTGTCTGTTGGCTCACTTGCTCATTCATTCATTCACTCATTTACTCATTCATTCATTCATTCATTCATCACCCAGTTGATTTCCCCAGTGTTGTAGCATCTATGCTGCCATTCAAGCAGTGGTACACAGGCCTTAAGTCGTTATCCTTGGGAGTCACCTGTGGGAACTGACCTTGCATTTGTGAGGGATGAAGGGAGTTAAGTGTGGAGCACTAGAAGGGAGGATGTCAGGGGAAGTGAGAAAACAGGTAAGCCACTGGATGCTCCTTCAGAGTGCTCCCCTGAGCTTCACACTAAAGCCTCCCCGGTCACAGTATCACCTCCATTTCACAGATGAACTCGCCTGAATCATAGCAGGGTATACAGGTATTCACAGTCACACAAAGGAGGAGCCAAAATTTGAACTCAGACCGATGGGCTCCCGAGTCTCAGCCATTTTTGTTATTGTTGTTGTTGCTGCTAATGCTATTTGTTTGTCTTAAGACAGAGTCCTGCTATGTAGTTCACACCCCTGAAGTGACTCTGCAACTCAGGCTGGCCTTGAACTCATGTCCCTATTATCTCAACCTCTTGAGTAGTAATATCATAGATGTGTGACCCCATGCCCAGGCCTTCATCTTTCTTCCTTTTTCACTTCCTTTCTTCCTTCTTTTTGTTTTCTTTCTTTCTTTCCAACTTGCTATGTAGCTGAGGACAACTTTGAGCTTCTGATTTCCTGCCTCTACCCACCAAGTCCTGAGACTGCAGGCATGTACCCCAACAGTCCTGGTTATGAAACCCGGGCTTCTTACGCTCCAGGGAACACTCTATCAACCTCAACAACCCCATCAGCCCCACTGTCTTTTTAAAGGCTTTAAATCACATCTATTTGTTTGTGTGTGTGTGTGTGTGTGTGTGTGTGTGTGTGTGTGTGTGTGTCCATTCACAGTGCACATGTCAGAGCACAATTTGCAGGAGTCTGTTCTCTCCTTTCACCATGAGGGGCCAGGGGTGGAACTCAGGTGTGCAGGTTTAGCAAGAAGCACATTTGCTCACTGAGCCATCTCATCAACCCCCACCCCCAGGCTTTTTAAGCTTTACTTTTAACTAGTGTACACTCATTGTCAAAATGATAGGTTCCATCGTGACATTTTCACACACATTGTATTTTGTTCACACCACTATCATCTGTTCCATTTTGTCTCTCCCAATGATCACTAAATACTCTTTTTTCATGTTCTCTCTTTCTGTCTGTCTGTCTATCTCTCTCTCTCTCTCTCTCTCTCTCTCTCTCTCTCTCTCTCTGTGTGTGTGTGTGTGTGTGTGTGTGTGTGTGTGTGTGTGTGTGTGTTTCCAGGCTTCATATATGGAAACATGCCTTTCTGAGCCTGGATCATTGCACCTAACCTGCTGAATCCACAAATAACCAACTCTCCTTCCAAACCCCATAGGGCTGGTTGGCCCAGGGCACAGAGGGGCTGGGGAGCAGTTTGGTGGCAGATCATGTGCCCTGTGTTTCATACAGAGGGATGAACACCCCCTCTCCCTCCCCAGAGAGCAGGAAGGTGTGGATGAATGAATAAGCTGTGATGGAAACTGTGAATATGGAAAAACTGGTGAGGAGGGCAACTCTGACCACCCTCACCTTCCTTAACCTTTTACTCTGCTAACACACTCTGACTCACCCTGGTTTTTGTAGCGTCTGTGGAGCAGTTCCAGCAGTCCCTGCAGGACAAGTACCAGCTGTTGCCTGAGAGCCTGACCGGTCCCCTGGTGGCCATGGAGCTGGTGCGAGCCAGGTTGGAGAGAGGCAGCAACAAAAGTCAGGAAAGGGAACTGGCCACTCCTGACTGGACAGAGCGCCAGCTAGCCCATGGTGGTCTGGCTGAAGTGCTTCAGGTTGCCAGTGACTGCAGGCGACCACGAGAGACACAGGTGATAGCCGTGCTGGGTAAGGCCGGCCAGGGCAAGAGCCACTGGGCCCGAACTGTGACTTACGCCTGGGCATGTGGCCAGTTGCCACAATATGACTTTGTCTTCTATGTCCCCTGCCATTACTTGGATCGTCCAGGGCACACCTACCACCTACGGGATTTTCTCTGTCCCCCAAGCCTGCAGCCACTGGCCATGGATGATGAAGTCTTTGGTCACATTGTGAGGCAGCCAGACCGCATCCTGCTCATTCTAGATGCTTTTGAGGAGCTAGAAGCCCAAGAAGGCCTCCTGCATGGACCATGTGGACCTCTGTCCCCAGAGTCCTGTTCCCTCCGGGCACTGCTAGCTGGGCTTTTCCAGCGGAAGTTGCTGCGTGGCTGCACCCTGCTCCTCACAGCCCGACCCCGGGGCCGCCTGGCTCAGAGCCTGAGCAAGGCAGATGCCATCTTTGAGGTACCTAGCTTCTCTATTAAACAGGTCCAGACTTACATGAGGCAATACTTTGAGAACTCAGGGACAGCGGAGACCCAAGACAAGGCCCTGGGCCTCCTGGAGGGCCAGCCTTTTCTCCTCACCCACAGTCATAGCCCTGCTCTATGCAAGACCATGTGCCAGCTCTCCAAGACCCTGCTGGAACAGGGAACAGAGGCCCGGCTGCCTTGCACACTTACAGGGCTCTATGTTGGCCTGCTAGGCCCTGCAGCCCGAGACAGTCCTCCAGGAGCCTTAATTGAGCTGGCCAAGCTGGCCTGGGAGCTGGGCCGCAGACACCAAAGCACCTTGCAAGAAACCCAGTTTCCATCAGTGGAGGTGAAAACCTGGGCAGTGACCCGAGGCTTGGTGCAGCCTGTCCTGGGGACCACAGAGGCCCAACTGGCCTTCTCCAGTTTTCTGCTACAATGCTTCCTAGGTGCTGTGTGGCTGGCACAGTGCAGTGAAATAAAAGACAAGGAGCTGCCGCAGTACCTGGCCTTGACCCCAAGGAAGAAGAGACCTTATGACAACTGGCTTGAAGGTGTGCCACGCTTTCTGACTGGATTGGTTTTCCAGCCTCGGGCCCACTGCTTGGGGGCTCTGGTGGAGCCTGCAGTGGCTGCAGGGGCAGACAAGAAACGGAAGGTTCTTACCAGGTACCTGAAGCGCCTGCAGCTGGGGACACTTCGGGCTGGGAGGTTGCTGGAGCTGCTGCACTGTGCTCACGAGACTCAGGAAGCTGGGATTTGGGAGCATGTGGCGCGTCAACTCCCCGGGCACCTCTCCTTCCTGGGCACCCGGCTCACACCCCCAGATGTACATGTGCTGGGCCGGGCCTTAGAGTCGGCCAGCCAGGACTTCTCCCTGGACCTTCGTCAGACTGGCATTGAGCCCTCTGCACTGGGAAACCTCGTGGGACTCAGCTGTGTCACCGGTTTCAGGTGTGGGAAGGGCACAGGGCAGACATGGACTGCAGCTCTGGGGCCTCCTATTCCATGGGCACAGCATCAGGAGGAACAGAATAGTCCCCTCCAATTAAAGATGACAATAAGGGTCAGAGAAGGATAGCTATTGGCACTGGCCATGTGCCTGTGAAGGAGGGTGGCATTCTTCTCACCAATATTTGAATACTTACCATGTATTCAAATCCTTCAGTTGCCAGCACATGCCACCATTTTTTTTTTGTCCTCAGAGGCACAGCCTCCCTCAGTCTTTTCTTTCTCATGTGACAGGCATGTCACTGCTCTTTGTATTCAGGCAGAGGGGCAATCCTCCCAGAATGTGAATCTGGTCAGATTCCAGTGCTGCTTGAAAGGACATCCTGTTCCTCTCAGGGTGGGCTTTAAATTCTCTCATTTGGCTCATTCAAGTCCACTTTGCAGTTTGCTTGAGCACTTCAGGGTAATCTCCAGAAAAAATTCCTCCCACAGGAAAAAATTCCTGATAAACAGATCTTACTCAAGTTCTAAGGTCTGCCACAGTTATGCCCAGAATTTAGCACTGAGCTTCCTGGAAGGCAGAGTCAAAGTGTGTCTTTTTTAAAAATGGTAGACCAACAAGGGCTGATAAGGTCATGGAAGAGGGAGATCAAGCTAAGAAAGAAAAGGACCTGAGGAGGTGGGAGGTTCCTTTGTGGAGCCACGCACCCTAACTGTGATCTACCCTGGGTGCTGTGCCTGGGTCTGAGGCCTTCCCTCTACAGGGCCTCACTGAGTGACACAATGGTGCTATGGGAGTCCCTACAGCAGCAGGGAGAGGCCCAGCTACTCCAGGCAGCAGAGGAGAAGTTTACCATTGAGCCATTTAAGGCCAAATCTCCAAAGGATGTGGAAGACCTGGACAGCCTTGTGCAGACTCAGAGGTGAGGAGGCAAGGGGTCAGGTGTAGGTCCAGGCTGTGCAGGTAGTCTGTGTCTGTCACATACATAGCTCTGCAGAGCTTCCCAGTGCCCTGACCTTCGCTATGGCCATCCAGGAGTCCCACCCACTTTGCCGCACTCTAAGCCTGACACCCTGTACCAGGCCCCTCACACCTGAAGCCATGAAGACATCACTTACTAACTGGAGGGACCCCCCCCCAGGCCCTCAGGCAGCTGCACCCACTTTCAGCACCATTTCAACCATAATAGAGCCAAGGTACAGAGGACAGGGGACAGGAGAGCTAGGTGCTGCTAAGTGCCTCTCCCTATCTCCTCCATGAGCCAGCCATAGCCCTGAGATTTCACACTGTCCCTTCCTCTCTTCCCCCCCTGTCTCTCCCCCTTTCTCTCTCTTTCTGGACCTCACACATGCAGTGCAAGAACTCTAACATGGAGCTACATCCCCAGCCCTTTTAATTTTCATTTAAAGATGGTCTTACACAGTTGTTCAGGCTGGCCTTGCATTGGATGTGTAGTTGAAGCTGGCCTCCAATTTATAATCTTTCTGCCTCGTCCTCTCAAATACCTGGTCAAACAGGCCCATGACACTCTGCCTGGCTCTAAGCTGTTCTTTAAAAAGTATTTTATTTTGTGTGTATGTGTGTGTGTATGAGTGTGTGTGAAGGAGTGAGTGACGTGCCTGCGGAGTCCAGAGGAAAGCATCAGATCCCCCAGAGCTGGAGTTACAGGCAGTAATGAGCCAGACTCTGGTCTCCGCAAGAGCAGTATGAATGTAACCACTGAGCAATCCCTCAGCCCCCAAAGAGTGTTCTTTTAAGTGGAGGGTCAACAACAGCTCCCACGGCAGCGAGCCGGGTGCAGGATGGGGCATACCAGTAGGGCCACACCTACTTACTGAAGCCCTTTCTCTGTAGGCTCAGAAACCCCTCAGATGATGCAGCTAAGGGTCTTCCTGCTATCCGGGACCTTAAGACGCTAGAGTTCTCGTAAGTGAAGGGTGGGCGATTGCCTCAGTGTCCCATCTTAGCTCATCTTGGGCCAGGCATGGTGGCCCAAGGCATGGTGGGAAGGGAGAGCCTGGCTGATTCTTGCCTTCTTGTTTACCACCGGGAAAGCAGCTTCCACCTGCTGGGTGTGGCCTGTCTGGGTGAGTACAGGGGACGCTCACACATGCACTTACACACACTGTACACACACTTCAGACATTCACACACACATATAACACACTCATACACAGTGAACACATTCGCAAACACTCACACACTCATGCACACACACATACACACATCTAACACACTCTTACACATTCCCACACATGTGCATACACATATGCCTCATACACACCCATATAGCACACACTCAGACACACACACATGCTCATGCCTCGTCACTCATCAGAAAGCCCTTTGAGGAGCAGAGGTTGCTGTCCCTGATGAACTTACTCCAGCAAGTTCCCTTGAGGGTGGCTGGGAGCCTCCTGGAGGAGGTAGGTGTGTTGGAGATGGATGTTAAAGTCTAGAGCGCTTCGCTACCCTGGCTAGCTCCCGGATAACGGAGACAGAGACTTGTTGGATTTACAAAAGCTTCAAGGCACAGTAACGGGGCAGGCATCACCCCTCTATGCTTTTTGGCTGTTTCCCAGCTACACACCCTGTTAGCTGCCTGAATTGCTTCTATTTTACCAGGCCAGCCCTCATGGCCACATGCTCATGGTCCTTGCTGCCCCATGGCAACTTCCTTCTCTCTCCCTGGCTTCCTCTCCTGTTACATCTTCTGTTTCCTCTCTCTTCTCCTCCAGGCCTCATGTCCCTCTGAGACCCCTAGCTCCTCCTACTTCTCTTCTCCCCAGTACAGGCTTCAGCAACTTTATTAATTAGTCAACTTTAAATTAAATAGAGCAAAGTTTACACAGCAAAGACAAGTGCACTGAGAGTGTGCTCACTCTCTGGGTAATTAGCATTAGGAACCCCCATCAGAGGGTGCATCTTTGCAGAAGCTTGAGAACTTATGAATGAGCCTGCAGGGGCTGGAGAGGAAGCCCTGAAGGAATGCATATGGACTCAAGTGCCCCGTGTGCCCCAGAGCAGGGCCTCATACACAAGGAAGGGAATCCCCAAGACCTGTCAGTTTAGGTCCTTTTCCTGCTGAGCTAGGAGCTCCTGATCCTGGGCTAATCACTTTCCTGGCCACAGGCACTCCCCCAGGTGAAGGCGTAGCCTGGCCACTGCCCTCTGCACTCAGGTGTCCTTACCTCCCGCAGGGGCGGGGCCGGGGCCCAGCCTGGATGCTAAGTAGTCTTTCCAGGCTTCCCAGCCATGCACATGCTCAGACCCCATCTGCCTCATACTTGCTTCTCTGGGTCTTCCCTCAGTTAGAAGGATCTTTCTTGAGAAATTTGGGTGTGTAGCTCCAGTGGGCTAGGGTCCAGCTTGCCTAGGACTGAAAGGTTGGGCACTGAAAGTCTTGCATGCTTAGGAACCACTCCATCCAGCACAGTGGGAGAGTTGGCCGCACCCTGTGCGGCCAAGCCTGGGAGCTATCATCCTGGGCAGTGCCACCAGGGCAGGAGAAATGGAGATGAGGGGATGCAGTAGGTTGGATTGAGACGAGGGTGCCTGGCTATGATAGGGGAGCTGCCCTCCAGCACATGGGCCCTGAAGAGCCCAGGAGTTATATTTGGGTCTGGCTGCCTGAGCAGCTTTCCTCCAAGTGCTGAGGATTGAGCCCAGGGCCTTGTACATGCTTGGCCAGCACTCTATCACTGAGCTACATGCCAACCCATCAGTTTGTTTGTTTACTAGACAGAGTTTAATGTATCTCAGACTGCCTTCAAACTTGCTCCATAGCCAATCCAAGCTCTATAACCTTGAACTTTTTTTTACATTTTTAAAAATTTATTATAATTTATCACCTCTGTATACCAGCTGTAGCCCCACCCTTGTCTCCTCTCTTCGACCAAGCGCGCAGCTTCAGGAGGGACGCACATGGAGCGGTGAGGGAGGAAGAGGACACCCGCCTAGCCAGCCAGATCAGCCGAATCAACCCTGGCGATCAATGGGGTGACAGATGTCGCAGCCAGATCGCCCTCACATCCCCCTTGTCTCCTCTCAATCCCACCCTCCTTCCTTCATCTCCCATGCCCCTGCCCCAGTCCACAGATAGGGGAGGTCTTCCTCCCCTTCCATTTGACCTAACTTATCAGGTCTCATCAGGACTGGCTGCATTGTCCTCCTCTGTTAACCTTGAACTTCTAATCCTCCTGCTCTACCTCCCAATAATATAATAATATAATGCTAGGATTATAGGCACACTCTGCTACAACAAGCTTAGTGCAAGGGGTAGGATTCAGGGCTTTGTGTGTGCTAGGAAGGCACTCCACCAATTCAGTGACATTCCCAGACCATATATTTCTTATTTTGAAAGGGGTTTTAATATCTAGTCTAGCCTTGAACTTTTGCTGTCCTTGCCTCAAGCCCTGCTTGCTCCACCACCAAGCTTTAACATAGCTTTCCAACTGCAAAGCATTTTCACTCCACGTCTATGATAATCCTAGAGGAGGCCATTGATGTCAACTCTCATTTATTCTACAAATGGGCATAATGAGACCTGAGGGATGAAGTAGTTTCTTCAAAGTTACAAACAGCATTTTAGCTTACCTAGCTGACTAACAAGCTGTCAGTATTTGGTCCTATTAGAGATAAGCTTGATCCAGCCAGGCCTGGCGGCACACATCTGAAATACCAGCACTTGCAAGGCTAAGGCCGGAAGATAACAAATCCAAGGCCACTCAGGACTACATAGGAAAACCTTGTCTGAAAACAAAGAGCCGATAAGATCCTCCATGCCTTTACGTAGAGTCCCCTTTATGAGAAGAGCTGCCCTGGAAGACAGTCACTGGACAAATTTGGAAACTGAGGCTTGGCAATATTAGTGATTTGCCTGCAGTCCCAACTGGTTACACACTCTTTGCCAGCTCCCCTGCACCCCACAGATAACCAAGCCCCTCTTGTTTTCGACAGAACATACGATGCCAAATATGTACAGAGGTAAAAATATTTGCTGAAAAGAGGAAATGTCAGAAGACAGCCACAAGGTGCTTTCTGTCTTTGAATTATTTTCAGCTTAAAAAGCCCCTTCCTGGTGGTCGGAACTGCACTCTGGCTACCAGAGGCCGCGGGGTGGAACAGGCTAGAGCCAGGCCCACAGCCTCCTACAGGCTGGAAGCCCAGACATAGTTCTGAGGAAGAAAGGGAGGAAACAAAGGGCTATTTAGGGTGTCTACTGCAGCCACCCCATGTTCCCCACCCCCTTCAAGCCTCTCTGGCTGTCTGATCTTCAACCCCCACATATATGTAGGTGAGGCATGTGGCTCAGTTGGCAGAACACTTCCTAGTAGGCATAAAGCCCGGCTTTAGTCCCTAGCACCACCTACACTGGCACACACCTGTGGTCCCAGCATATGGAGGTAGAAGCGGGAGAATCAGCTCATGACAACTTGTTGTTTGGTTGGTTCATTTTGGGGTTTGGTTTTTTTGAGACAGGGTTTCTCTGTATAGCCTTGGCTGTCCTGTAGACCAGGCTGGCCTTGAACTCACAGAGATCCATCTGCCTCTGCCTCCCAGTGCTGGGATTAAAGCAGGTTGGAGGCCTAGGCTACAGAGCTTGTGGGAAAAAAAAAAGGCCCAGGTTCATTCACCCCATCACCGCTTCTCCCTTACCTCCTCCTCTCCATCCTCTTCCTCAGCCCTTCCTATCCTGTGCTCCTTCTTCTTCTGAAACAAGATCCAGCCCCAGGCCTTGCCATGACTATGCCCCTGCCCTCAACGCTCTTCCTTCCACAGCAGAACCACCCAGGCCCTCATTTCCCTCCATTCTGTTTTATTTTTTAATTACATTTTATTTTGCCTGCTTATTTATTTATTTAGTGTGTGCATGCATGTTGTGGTGTGCCTTTAGAAGTCAAAGGGCAATTTGCAATGGTTGGTTCTCTCTATCATGCCAGTTTCAGGGATCAAATTCAGGTTGCCAGGCTGGGTGCAGGCACCTTGACCCCGCTGACCGTGTATGTCAGTGTTCTGAGGCCCTTTCCAGACTTTCCCACCGTGAGTTTCTCTAGCATTTATCTCTCCGTCCACATCATGAACCAATTTCCTTGATTATCTGTCTGCCACTGGTGCCAGTTCTATGCAAGTGGGAACTTCTGCTGCTCACGGCTTTCTTGCCATGGTCTGGTACCTTGTACACAAGTGGCCAGATCAGCAGATGAGTCAAGGACGGTCTTTCTCGTCCTGACAGCACCCTGTGGTCAGGGCTAAGCACTGAAGGAGCCAAGATCCAAAAGTGAAGGGATGTCGAGACCACAGCGCAAGGCTGAGCCCAGCTGTATCTGGGTCTTTCCTTAAAGCTCAAGGCCCTAGGGCCTGGGATCCTAGACTCAGAGGGAATTCCAGAATAAGTTTAAGTTACCATGTACAGGGATCTTTTGATTTTTGTCATTTAGAAAAACAAATATTAAACCTGGAGGTGGTGGTGCATGCCAGTGAGCTTAGTACTCAGGGAGCTGAGGCAAGAGGATTATGAGTTCAAGGACAGCCTGAGCTAGAGAGAGAGAGATGGTCACACACACACACACACACACACACACACACACACACACACACACAGACTATTTAAAAAAAAATCGATAGTGGTATTGCCAAATAATGACTATTTCAAAAGAGTTGAGGTCAGTGAGGCAGCTAAGTAGAGCCCATATGTTAGCAAAGAACCATGTCCTGCAGTTGTCCTCATCTTCACACACATGTGTCATAACACAAACACACTTGTCCCAATCTTCACACATGTGCCATGACACTCATGTGCATGCACACAGCAAATATATAAGTTAATTAACTAATTGAACAAAGTTAAGTCAGGAGGCTAGGGAGATGGCTCAGAGGTTAACAGAGGTTAAGAGTGCTTCCTGCTTTTTCAGGGACCCTAGTTCAATTCCCACATCAAGCAGCTCACAACCACCTATAACCCTGGCCCCAGGGGTTCCTGCTTCTACATTTACCATCCCCCACCCCAACATGTGACATACATGTACACAGACCTTTACACTGACATAAAAATAAAATTTAAAGGTTAAAAATGTAATTTCAGACTAAAACTTCTTTTTACTTACGTTTTTATAATTTTAACTAAAACCTAGAATAAAGCCCTTTATACTGGATATATTTAGTCATATTTTATAAACCAAACAATGATCCTTGCACTGTCCTTATCTTACTGATTTCCTTGAAATCTAGTCAATCATGCTGTGTGAGTTACCCCATCTCACTGTGTCTCAGCTTCCCAATCTGTAAAATGGGGGTGAGAGGACCCTCAGCTCAGAGCTGAGAGCTAAGTTGACTAAGGGGCTTAGCATGGGCTAAGTGCTCAAGAAACATTCTTTCTTGTTCTTTCACTCTTTTGAGACAAATTATTATGTAGCCCAGGCTTGCTTCAAACTTACTGTTTAGCCAAGGATTCTTCTGCCTCCAACTCCTAAGTGCCAAATAAGAACTGTGCCAACTGTGCTGTCTCCCAGCCCCCACCCAATAGTCCTTTGTTATTAAAAAGCAAAGATAAGGTCTGGAGAGAGCGCCCAGTGGTACCAAGCTCCCTCACAAGCATGAGGTCTTAAGTTTGGATCCCCAGAACCCAAAGAAAAGCCTGGTGTGTCAACCTGGTGTTCTAGCACTGGGGGAGAGACAAGGATTTCCCAGACACCCAGTCAATGAGCTCCAGATTCAGTGAGACCCTGCCTCAAAAAAAAAAACAAAAAAAAAACAAAAAAAACAAAAAAAGACTCCTAACATTGACTTCTGCCCTCCATATCTGTGCATATGAACACACCCATGAACACACACACACGTGCGCGCGCACACACACGAGAGAGAGAGAGAGAGAGAGAGAGAGAGAGAGAGAGAGAGAAAGGGAGAGAGAGGGAGGGAGACAGTTAAAATGCAAAGGCAGGCAATCTGAGGGAGGGAAGGAGGGAGGGAGGGAGAGTGGATGGGAGGGAGGGAGATATTTAAAATGCAAAGGCAGGCAATCTGAGCGAGGGAAGGAGGGAGGACAGGAGAGGGGAAGGGAGGGAGGGAGGGGAGACATTTAAAATGCAAAGGCAGGCAATCTGAGGTGATTTAGGAATAGACCTTGGCAGGTGTAGGGACCGCTTCACAGGGCAAGGGACATCATCAGGATGAGAATGGGCTGCTGAAGGCAGAAAGTGAAGTGGGGGAGTCCCAGCAGGCCTCTCAGGAGTCAGAGCAGGAGGCTTTGGGAGCCCAGATGGCAGGAATAAGAATCTGGGTAAGCAGGGAAGGGGCCTGAGACTGTCCTTGCTGTCTGCAGTTTTAGTGTCTGACCTCTGCCATTGATTGCTTCCTAGGCTGGGCCCCATCTTGGGCCCGAAGGCTTTCCCTACACTGGCAAGGATCCTTCCAGCCTTCTCCTCCCTGCAGCACTTGGAGTAAGTTACAGACCTGGGACCCCTACTCTGTGCCTTGACAAATTCTGGGACCCTCTACCCTGTGCCCTGACAAGTCCTGGGACCCCTACCCTGTGCCCTGAAAAATCCTGGGATCCTCCTCTACCCTTCACTCTGAGAAGTCCAGACTTTGTCCCCAGGGCACATGGAGAGTCTTTCTCCCTGTTCCCTTTTATTCCCCTCCCCTCTCCACAGCTTCCTCAGTGGGGAAACTGTGTGTGAGGGGTGGGGGACAGATGAACCCACTGTGGGGACTTATGACCCCTAGTACAGGGAAAGGGACAGAGGATGGGAATTCCCACATTAAAAAAAAAAAATGGAGTTCTTTCGCAAGCTTTGAAATTCTTTTACCCACACAGCTCTTAGCAACCCCAAAGGGCAGACAGGTGGGAGCAGGAAGGGGCTTCATAATCGAGGCTCGAAGAAGTTAGGGGAGCTGACCACCTCAGTGGGTTCCTACAAAACCAAGCAGAAGTTCTAGTCCACAGTGCTTAGCCATGGCCCCAGGCCAGCTTAACAGCGCCCCTGGTGGCCAGATTCCACAAGCTCAGAGATGAGCTAAGGGTATTAGAGAGGATGACCAGGCCTGGAGGATGCTGATCTGGGACCAGAAGGTTAATGGCCACCATCTGATCCACCTGCAGCCTGGACTCACTTAGTGAGAACAAGATCGGGGACAAAGGTGTGTCACAGCTCTCAGCCACCTTCCCTCAGCTGAAGGCCCTGGAGACTCTCAAGTGAGTACGCTGAACCTACCTCCCCACTGCTTCTGGTACAGAATGTTTACCCAGCCCACTGTTCTGCTCTTCTGTTCCCCCTCCATCCTATCATCTGTCCATCCCTCCATCATTCACTCATTCTGTTTTGGATCATCCATGCCTCTCTCATTCAGTCACCACCTTTCTACTCAGTCCTTTTCCAAGTGTATGTCTAGTCCAGGGACCACCTCAGGAACACTGCCCACCTCTTTTAAGACAGGGTCTTGCTCTGACTTGGAAGTTACAAGTTATGCCAGCTTACCCAGCCAGCGAGCTCCAGAGTTCATGTTACCACCTCGCCAGTACTGGGATTAAAAGCATGCACCGATATGCCTAGTCTTCTGTGTGGGTGCTGGGGAGCAAACTCATGCCTGTGGGACAAGCGCTTTGCTGAGCCATCTTTCTGACCTCATTTATTGGTTTAATGAAAAGGACTTAAGAAACCATTGCTATCATGGGCAACAGTGGAGACCCCAGAGATCCTGCTCCCAAAACTGTGGGCCTCTTCATATACAACAAACCAGAAGCAAACAAATACATAAGTCACAATCATAACACAGTAAGCTGAGCATGGCAGCATTGGAGAGGTTGGGACAGTGGGATGGGCACACGTTTAAGGCCAGCCTAGGGAATCAGTCTCAAGAAAACATGAAGTGGGGAAGGGCTGGCAGGGTGGCTTAGCTAGTGAAGGTAGCTGCTGTCAAACTTGATAATTTGAGTTGCATCCTGAGGGCCCACATGGTAGGAGAAGCAACTGACTCCTGAACATTATCATCTGACCTACACACACACACTAAAAAGGAGAAAGGGAAAAATGTATTAAGATAAAATATACTGGAATAAAAGTTTAATGAACACAGCTCCACTGGGATGCTAGAAGAGACAGATTGGGACTTGGCATGAAACATTTTGTGGTGACAGCTGTTTTTAACTGTTCTGGGCCTTGGGAAGCTAAGGTGGAATAGGTGTGTGTTGGGGGCAGACATGATTTCCCATTAAACGTGGTGGCCCTGGAGAGAATGGAGCAGAAGGATCTTGAGCTCCAGGCCAGCTTGGGCTACATAATGAGACCTTGTCTTAGAGTGAAAAATTTTAAAGGGGCTAATAAGATGACTCAGAGGGTAAAGGTTCTTGCCTCACATGTCTGGAGACCTGAGTTTGGTCTCCAAAAAGTTGTACCAATGTCCATGGCTCAGGGACACAGATTTAGGTTACTTCAAATTTCATGTTCCAAAGTGGAGGCAGTTCCATGAAGTTTTACAGTTTTACAGAACAAAGACAGTCATAAATCCTGGCAAGTTTAAAATATATTGGCAGGGCCAGGCAGTGGTGACACATGGCTTTAATCCCAGCACTCAGGAGACAGAGGCAGGTAGATATCTATGAGTTTGAGATCAGCCTGGTCTATAAGTCGAGTCCAGGACAGCCAAGGCTACACAGAGAAACGTTGTCTCAAAAAACCAAACCAATCAAAAACATTTATTGGTAGGTACATCAGAGAGGCAGGTACATCAAGGAGGGGAAGCTTTTCTCCAGGCCTAAGATGCTATCTGATGACAGTCTCAGCTTTTGGGTTGGTGGAAGCCAGTGGTTAGCTAAGTGAATAGGTTCCAAGAGGTTTTTTTTAGCTATTAGCCACAGGATGTTAGTTCTGACACAGAGAAGGGCAAGGACTGGATGTTCCGTTCCTAGGCCTTTTCTGATCTCTCCACAATCTGTCAGTCAGTATCTGCCAACACAGCTTCTTTCAGGAGTTCTAAGCCACAGCTCTACACAGACCCTCTGCCACATGGCACTGTGGCAGTGCCCCTCCCACAGTACAACAATAATAGCGACAACAATAACAATTTTAAAAATGTAATAGCACTGGAGATACAGCAATGGCAGTGCCCTTGTCTAGCATACACAAGGCCCTGGATTCAATTCCACAGCAAAACATAGAAACAGACAAAACATTTTAAAAAAAAAACCTGTCAACACTCCATGTTATAAATGAAGTTAAGAAGCCTGAAATTATCCCAAGAATTCATGTGGCAATTTCCTTAATGTACAGTGTAGGCTTCTCCATAATTTACAATGGTCTAGGCCAACCACGAGATACATTTCCCTCCTTTCTCTTCTCTCCTTCTGACCTTTCTATTCCTGGACACACAAGCACCTACTGTGTGTAGTTAGAGTGCTGGAAAACATCCCTAGGGGGAAAGGGTAACTACTGAAACAGACAGCCGGGGGGAGAGGGGGTGCTTTCTCTGCCTCTTACCCCCATCCACTCTCTCTGTTTCTGTGGGTCCATCCACATTACCTATGACCCTTTCAAAGGGTCTGCGGCTATAGGCTGCCTGTGAGGTGCATTTCCAGCCAATGGGAAAGGGGGAGCCTTTCACTTGGGTCCTAAGCCATTTCCTCCCTGTGTCCCCATAGCCTGTCCCAGAATAGCATCACTGATGTGGGTGCCTGCAAGCTTGCAGAAGCCCTTCCGGCCCTAGCCAAGTCGCTCCTGAGGCTGAGGTGAGTGGAGTGTCCTTCTGAGTGGGCTGAGGAGCTGGTGGGTGGGGAATAGACAAGATCACCTCTTGCTGGTTGCAAGGTCTATGCTTCCTCCGGTGGTGTATTCACCTAGAATGAACTGAACATCACCACAGCCTCGGGGCAAGTTGCTTACTTGTTCCAAGCCTCTATTTCCTCATCCTCGACAATATGCATCATGTCAATGGGTCACGTGTCATACCCCAGTGCTGTCCCAGGTGAGCAGTGGACGGTTGTCCCCGTACCCATCCAGCCTCTGGAGGGCAGGGCTCCAGTGGGCCCTGCAGGGCTGGTTTCTGTGAGTTCCATCACCATTCCAGCCAGTGCTTCACTGCCACCTCCTGGTGGGCCTGGATGTAGCAGCCCCAACTTCTGAAGTCCTTTCAGCAAGTCTGGTGTGGTACTGGGGGCTGAGGTGGGAACTGAGTTTGGACCAGAATCCCAGTCATTCAGCTCAGCACTACCAGATGTCAGCTATGCCAGAATTTCCTTCCCCCAAGTCATGTTCTAGGAAAAGCGACTTCTGCCCATCTTTATGGAGGCAGCTATTCCTTCAGCCTTCCAACCAGGTCCCAGTGACATCACATCTGTAGTCCAGAGGCAGAGAGCAATGAATGCTGGCGCTCAGCTTGCTTTCTGCTTTTTAATTTTTAAAAAATATCATTTTTATTTTGTGTGTTTTGGCTGCATATCCACCCATGTGCTAAGTGCACATGATGCCTGCAGAGGCCAGAAGAGGATATTAGATCCCCTGGGACTGGAGTTACAGATGACTTATGGCTATCTCATAATACAAAATACATTCATTCCAACTTCAAAGTCCCTGGAGTCCTAACAGTTTCCAGATTTTCTTCTCCCCATGGCCAGCAGCAGTCACCCCTTCTGTCTCACATGGCCCTCTGTGAGTGTGTTACCCTGGGAGACCCTGGCTAACAGGTGGCCCACTGCATAAACCAGCGAGAACCCACCTGCTCCCCTACAGTGACCTCTCCTACCCATTTTACAGATGAACAATGGCATGGGAGGGGAATGTCCTCCTTAGTGGTTCCATGCTTTTGGGCTGGGAAACACTTCTCTCCCTCTCCTCTTCCTCTCTCTTTCTGTCTTCTTTTTCCCCCTCCATCTCTCTCTCCCTTCTTTCCCCTTCTTTCTCTCCCTCTCCTTTTTCTCTCTCCCCTTTTCCCATCCCCTCTCTCTTTCCCTCTCCCTCTTCTGTTTCTTTACCCCTTCTTCCTTCCTTCCTCTCTCCTCCTCTCCTCTCTCTTCCCCAATTTCTCCTTTCCCTCTCCTTTCCCTCCACACTCCCCCTCTCTGTTTTCCTGGAGATGGATCCCAGAGTTGCTTCATGTATTCCACACAAACACTCTGTTGCTAAGCTCTAACCCAGCCTTCTTAGCTTTCTATTTTGAGGGGCTAGAGATGGCTCAACAGTTAAAAACACTGGCTGCTCTTGTAGAGGATCTGGATTCAGTTTCTAGCAGCCCATGATGGCTCCCAACCATCTGTTAACTCCAGTCCCAGGGGATCCAGTGCCTTCTGGTGTTCTCAGGCACTGCTTGCATATGAAGCATAGACATACATGAAGACAAAACGCCCAGACACACAAATAATTTTTTAAATTTTTTAAAGGAATTTTCTATTTTGAGACAGAGTCTCATGGATTTTAGGCCGGCCTGCATTTGTAACCCCTCTCCTAAGTAGTTGGAATTACAGTCCTAAGCCACTAAGCCCAGTGTACAATTTCCTGTCCATGTGTTGTTTCTTGAACTCACAGTAGAACTACAGATAAGTGGCCTCAACTCTCTGGGCCTCAATTAGTCCATCTGTAAAATGGGACAGTAGGGCCTGCCTGGAGATGTAGCTCAGTTGACAGAGGACTTGCCTACAACGTATGAGGCCATGGGCCCATTCCATCCTCCGCACTGCACAAATGGGATATTTGTAATCATAGTACTTAGGAGGTGGAGGCAGGAGAATCAGAAATTCAAGGTCATCTCTGACTATATACCAAGTTCTAGACCAGCCTGGGGATACGTGTGGCCTTGTCAAGAGACAGAGAGAGAGAGAGAGAGAGAGAGAGAGAGAGAGAGGCAGACAGATGGATAGGTAAAATGGAGCAGTAATCTCAGTTGAACGTGGCTTTCACCAGGGCCTGAGCTGGCCCAGCACCCCAAACCCTCTTCCTTCCTCTGTCGCCGGCAGCTTGTACAATAACTGCATCTGTGACGCAGGAGCCAGGAGCCTGGCACAAGTGCTTCCAGACATGGTGTCCCTGCGGGTGATGGAGTGAGTGCAGGGGTTGGGTTGCTTGGGAGGCAGAAGGTCTCCCACCCGCATCAGGGGAAGGGCTGAGATGGGAGTAGCCAGGCCTCAGGATGGCCCTTTCTCTTCAGCGTTCAGTTCAACAAGTTCACGGCTGCCGGTGCCCAACAGCTGGCCTCCAGCCTTCAGAAGTGTCCTCAAGTCGAAACGCTGGCGTAAGTGGCATTGCTGCTGGGGTTGGAGTTCTGTGTGTGTTTCTAGAATTCAAATCCCACCCCTGCAAACAGTACATGATCCCAGGATGACAAGAGATTGCCCACCCCCAGCCTCGGTTTCTTCATCTCTACAAGGGTGGTAACACCTGTAGAGAAAACCTGTGATTGTTCTGTCAGTCAAGATACAGATTTTTTTTGCAGGGTGGAGGGGGGGTCTCACGTAGTGCAAGGTGACCTGGAGCTCAACATGCAGCTGAAGATGGCCCTCCTGCCTCTATCACCCAAGTGCTGGAGTTATAAGCATGTACCGCCACATCCAATTTCATGTGGCAATGGGGACCAAAGTTGGGACTTGGTGTGTGCTAGGCAAGCAGGCCACCACCGGAGCCATGTCCCCACCAGAAACTTTTAGGACAATGTTGCTGCACAAAACACTCAAAAATATTTCATCAGGATGAATCATACGAACTTGCCTAATCCAGTCATTCTTAGAACATAAAAATAGCAAATTTACTTTCCTGTTTGTTTTTGAAACAGAATTGCACTTGAACCCGTGATCCCCTGCCTCGGCCTCCGGAATGCAGGTACCATGATACATGTGCTGTGGCCCTTTAAGCTTTCTCTATTAAGCCTTCACACTGTTTGATCTAGCACCTTCTGCTCTTCAGGTGGCTTTGACCTGCACAGTTGGGTCTGTCTTCTCGGGTAGAGAGTGCTTCTCTGGATTCCTTTCTCCTTGTGACCACAATAGCTGGCAGAAGCAATGAAAAGGAGGAACAGTGCCCTTGGCTCACAGTCTCATGGGGTCCATTATGACGGGAAGGCATTGGTTGCAGGAGTTTGCGCCTGCAGCTGCTCATACGCTGCCAGGGAACAGTCAGCTCCCAGCATGGGCCTGGCTATTGCCTTCAAAGGTTCGCCCAAGGGGGTTGGGGGGAGGGACGTCTGACAGCAAGGCTCCACCTCCTAAAGATTCCACAGCCTTCAAACTAGTTTCACAGCCTAGGAAGCACTCAAAGCTCGAGCCTGTGAAGGACAGTCTGAACTGAACCCATAATAGGATCCACATTACAGCTAAAAAGGATAAGGCACCGACCACACATTCTCAAGGTCACACAGCAAGTCTGGACCAAGAAGGGTCTCTTAGCACTCTGTTCTCGCACACTGGTCTATGTCCTGCCAGGTGGGAGGTAGGGCTTGTGGGCAGCGTACCCTCGGGAGTCCTGCCACATTCCCTCTCACCTGGCCCTGACCCATGTCCCCTCTGCAGGATGTGGACACCCACTATCCCCTTTGGGGTTCAGGAGCACCTGCAGCACCTGGATGCCAGGATCAGCCTGAGATGACCCTGCTGTGCTCTGGACAAGGTAACCATGTTGGACTCCAGAGGGGAGAACTGCAGGGACGCTGGGTCAGTGTGCTGGTGAGGGTGTGGCCAAGGGCATCAAGCGAGGCTGGTTGAGTCTGTGTGTCATCTGGAGCTATCCTGTCTCCAAACTAGCAGGTGTCCTCCAGACTTTGGGGACTTGGGCCAAGGAACCTCCCTGAGGTCATGCTTAAAGACTGAGAAAAGACAGTCTGAGCCAGTCACCTAGAATTCCCATCCTTGGCATTGGGAAGTCCTGCCTTTGAAACTTAAAGTCTTTCTTGCTGCTGTTTCTCTTGGATTCATCTTCACAGGAAGTTATTACATTTCCTGCCAGCAACATGAACACAATTGTTTGTCACTCTCTCCCCCAGTCTGTGTTTCACTTGTCCTCCAGCCCCTCTCTCAGTCCCCCACAGTGTGACAGCCCCTACCTTTCTGTTGAGGCTGCTCCTCTGGAAGCTCATTACTTCACCTGCCTGTCCTGATCCCCACAGCACATACTCTGGGGACACTGACCACGCTGGACCTTGAACTGGGTACTGTGGACTCAGCTCTTCTGTGAACCGTATCCTGTGAGAGTCAGCATGCTGGCACCTTGCTCCTGCCAGTCAGAGTTGGGCCCTGCCTAGATCAGGAACAGGTGCATGCCTTGCTCTTCTACAGGCCCCAAGACCAGCTCCAGGCTCTGACAGGGCCAGGTGGGAAGCCAGCCCCATTCGGCGGCTGTGAGCATTGGCAGACAGGCCTGGGCTGCCCTCAGTGGGTTCACCCAGGAGGCTGAGGACCGTCTCTTCGACATTCCAAGCCAGAAAGAGGAATTGAAGCAACCAAGCACCTGCCTGTCCAGGCCAGAGCCAGCACATCTTCCTGGCTGCTTCAGACAGGGCCTGCTTGGGGGCTCTGAGGACACTAAGGGTGACTCTGGCCCGCAGACCTCTAAATGTGACAGGGAGTTTATAGCAGCTCCTTCTACTTGTGACGCTGTTTCCACAAACTTTAGGTCAAGGATGAACTGGGCTTGGCCCACACCGTAGATGCCAACCAAGAGCCAGGAAATGGTACACTACAGGGCTGTGGCTGGGAGTTGTTCTGCCTTCTCCGTCACACTCACTACATTTTAAATGCCCCCACTCTGCTCACTGCAGCTGTGGGGCCAGTTTATCCCACAAGTCCCATCTTGGATACCTTCTGTCCCATCTAATGCAAAAGAAACCACCCAAACCACAACAACGAAAAAGAGCCCACACTCTGCCTTCCAGGCAGGCTTAGACGAGACAGCTCACCTGTCCCCACCAACCCTCTGAGTCATTGAGGCGGTAAGAAGCCAGGCTGGAGTCATTGGGAGGCTCTCCTGCATGTATGCCTGGCAGGTGACACAGGTTGCTGGCTGGGAGCCCTGAGACCTTAATGGGACAGCTGGCTGGGGACTTCTCCAGGAGGTGCTGGCTTGCCCTCCTCTAACACTGTGGCTGTTATAGGGGGACCACCCAGTAAGGAAGAACAGAGAGGAGAAAGGGAGGAGGCACAGGCCACAGTCTGTGCACTGTTCCTAACAGCCCTTGAGGCCACACAGCATTGTCTTTACCATGTGCGCATACAGTCCACCTCTGCCCAGGCCCAAAGGGGCGGGTTCTTGTCTACTGCCCTGCTGCGTCCCGGGAGCAGTTCTGTAGCCCATCTGGCTGGCCTTGGCCGCAGCTAGCCCAGAGGGAGTTGGCAGCACCAGCACTGCCATTCTTGTTTACCCAGGGCACCACTTTTGAGCTCAGGCACTATTGATCCCTCCACCGGCACAGTGACAGCTTGCTCTTTTGTCTTGGCAGAGGGGTCCATCTGTGTGGCTCCAGCATGCCAGCCTTGATGTCAGCAGGACTGGCACATCCCAGTAAGTGGGAATTGGCTAGAGGGCCCAGAGGAGTGGTCTGCATGGCTGCTGCCTGGGAGCCATTCTTGAAAAGGCAGGTCCAGCTGCAGAGGGTATCTGCGCCAAGACTCAGGCTTACATTATGTACAGTTAGAGCATCAGGCTCAGGGGCAGCACATGGGAGTCCCATTTGTGTGAACACGGGACAGCACTGAGGCACTCTCTGAAACCAGGTATTTTCTGTACTTGTCAGTCAGGAAGGATGTACCTCTTGCCTTTGGTCTGTCTGAATATGCCAAAATTGACTCTCGCTACTCTTTGCTGATGGCTGTCATTTATTAATGAGTTGATTATGTAAGGCACTCATTACAGTGCCAGAGACATAGTAGATGCTCAATAAACTTCACTGGTTCTGGATTCTGTGTACTGGGCAGTACCTTAGGCCCTCTGGCTTCAAAGAGGAGGTAGTCTAGGACTGTACAACACCAGCTCTTGGCTAAGCTGCCTGGTCTCGTGCTCCACTTCATCAGATATGCAGGCAAGTTTTTTCTGTGCCTTATCCTCCTCATCTGTAAAATGTTCTGAGTCATGGTATCTTCTTTCCTGGTATATAAAGACTCGATATGGAAACAAAAATATTAATGAAATGGGTCAGCAAAATGGCTGAGTGGGTAAAGCAAGCCTGATGATCTGAGCTTGATCCCCAGGACCACACTGTGGTATGGAGGGAAGGGAGAACCAACTCCAAGTTGTCTCCTGTAACTTTCTGTGCACATGTATTACTGGAGCTACTGATGATTGTGAGCCTCCTTGGGAATATATACATATAGATGTATATATTAAGAGTGAAAAACAGTGCTTGGCATAGGAGTTCTGACGCCCTCTTCTGGACTTTGTGAGCACCGCATGCACTTGGTGCCTGCACACGGTAGACGCGCAGTAAATGTGAGAGGCATGCTACTCCTCAGCACAGTTTCAGGCTGGTCATTCTGCCACTGCGCACTGAGGACACATGGTGGGCAAGGTGCTCTAGGCTCCTGTGCTGGGAGTCTGGAGTCTCAGCAAATCTAAGACCTCCCAGACAGAGCTGCCAGCTGAGGCTGGCTAGGATGCTGCACAAAGGCTCCTGGACAGCAGATTCAAGAGGGCTGCCCACCAGTGGGGCCTGGAATGAAACTGCATCCATTTGGTAATTAGCATGGTGCCATCTCATGAGGTGGGGGAGTTGTGGTTCCCACCTTAGAAACTCGGCATTTATAGGGAAGGAGTCCACAAATCACTTGGCCTGTGACTCCTGTGAAGGATCTCTGTGGTGTGGGGACAACATGCTAGAGTAGGTTACCAGATCCCATCTGTGAGAAGCAGTTTTCGGGGATTAGTGGGCTGCTCATGCATTACACTTTCAATCCAAGCCCCTCCTCAGCCTTCAGCTTCACTCCAGGCCTCCCTCCCAAGGAGGATGTCTCTCTTCCTGTTGTACATGACTGTCCTGAGAGCCTTGGGGAATTCAGCTGCACCCTATTGCCTAAGGATTATCCCATTATGGAGAGGTGGGGAGGGCCACAGGGTCACTCCCATCTGTACGAAATGCTGCCCTAATTAGGGCACCTGCTCCCACGTGGCTTTGGGGCAGGGCCACAGCTATACTCTAGATTAGACTAGGGAAAAGAACTCCATTTCTTGTGGGTTTTGGAGGCAGGGTCCAATGTAGCCCAGCCTGGCCCCTAACTGGACATGTAGATGAGGATGACCCTGAACTTCAGATCCTCTTGCTTTCACCTTTGAACTTCGGATTCTTTTGTCTCTGCCTCCAGAAGGCTGAGATTATGGACACATCCCACTATGCTCATTTTTCAGGGTGCCAGAGCTCAGTGCAGGCCAGGTAAACATTCTATCAAATGCATTACATCCCCAGTCTCTTCCATTCGTAACTTTTTAAAGGTAAGGTCTATGTAGCCCTGCCTAGCTTGGAATCCACTTTTTAGACTTGGTTAGACCTGAAGTCACAAAGATCTGCCTGCCTCTGCTTTCTGAGAGCTGGGATTAAAGGCGTGCGCTCAGTCCCCCACCTCATTCTTCATCAGACGCTCTGTGTGGGGAACACTGCACAGCCACCTCTGTGGGACTCAGGTCCAAGCTCCCCAGGGCTCCCTAGCTCTTCCCACCATAACTTGGGCTTTCAGAAGGTGGGAGGAGGCAGCCTTTCCTGTGTGAGTTCCCCAGGCCCTGCTGCACCTCCAGACTGGGCCATCTGACTGATCTGTAAACTGTCAACCACAGTGCCCCTTCTCCCAAATTCAAAGCAGACAAAATCCAGCAACCAGACAAGGACGAGAGGGATTGCAGTTGCTTACATTTTTTTAATGAAATAAGTCAGCCTCTAAGTATTGCTTTTACAGGTTTATGGAAATCAAGTATCTACACCACTCACACTTTCCACACCACTCACACTTCCAAAAATAGATTTCTACCAGAGACAGAATGACCTTCCCCAGTGCGGCATCTCAGTTCTGTAAACCTGGAGAGGTTAAATCCTGCCCTGGGACTTGATGCATCCCTTTTCAGAGTGACTTCCTGACACTGTGATTAGCAGTCTTGGGTCTGAAGTCTCCCCAGGCCTAAGGCTCAACCAGCATCAAACCATGTTGGAGGGGCCAGCCTAAGTATGAGTCTACTTGCATCTTACTTCGGCTCTCCACGTCCTTTCCGGAGGTAAAATGGGGGAGGCGGGTGCAGTTGTGGGTGAAGTGCAGAGAGGTAACCTCTGTAAACATCCATGGCAACGGTGGAGAGTCACAAGCCAGATGCAGGACAACTGAGGACTGGGTGATGGGTGAGGTCTTTGGAGGCCTTCTCCTTCCTGTAGGTCCTGGCAACTCTCCCATCTTGGCACTGAGTCCCCACCTCTCCTGGCAGATTCCTGAGTTGGGGCAAGAACCCAGCTGTTGGCACAAGCAGGCCTAACAAGAAGACAAAGGACAGTCGTCAAAGGGCAGGGCCATGGCAGCATAGGCCTGGGGGTGCCTCCCTGTAGCTCAGGTGAGGCAAGGAAGCCTTGCTCCCATCCTTAAGTTCTAGGAATCTCCAGAAGCCCCAAGCTCAGGCTGGAGATGTTTTTGCTCCTCTCTTTCTTCCGTCCTTTTAAAAATATTTTTTAATTCTTTAACAAGTTCATATGTGTATATAATGTACTAGGATATTTTTCTCCCTTCTCTTTCATCTTCCGTCCTCCCTCCGGACTCTCTGTTCCTTTTGCCTCCTACTTTAATATCCTTTTTTTTTTTTTTAATTAATTTATTTTTTTTTATGACCCATCAAGTTTAACTGGGGTTGCCTGCATGAGCACAGTTGAGGAATTATTTACAGGAACATAGCAACTGATTAGCAGCTACTTAGCATTGAGGAAGATGACCCCCTCCCCCAGCAGTCATTAACCTACTAAGCACCTCCTCTCCACCCTATCTCCTATCATTCCCACTGGCTTTTGTTGTTGAGGCAGGCTCTCTTGTAGGTAGCCCAGGACAGCTTTGAACTTCTGATTCCTCTGCCTGCACCTCCCAAGTGGTGGACCTTAGGTGGTCCCGGGGATGGAACCTAGGGTCTAGCTGAATACACGCTGAGCAAGTATTCCACCAATGGAGCTACCTTCCTAGCTCCCTGCTACTTCTGTTCCAAGTTCTTATGAGTGAACTTGCTTCACTTCTGAGAGTCTGAAGAACCATGGTAGCTTTCCAAGGGAGAGTAGGGCTGTCCACAGGTGATCAGGATGGGAAAGAGATGCTGGGGTTGGGAGAAGGCTCTCAGCCACAAGGGAGGTCAAGAGGAGGCAGCTGAGCAATCTCTAGGGAGTGGGCAGTGCCTTCCATCTCACCCATAAGGCACTGTGCTTACAGGAAGGCAGCTAGTCAACTGTGTCCCCACTTGTCTCCTCTTCCCATGACACAGCATCATTTGGAAGTCCTGGCCCTGTGGCCTGTTCTATCCTCCAGTTCCCTCAATCCCATATTTATCTGTCATCAGTATCTCTGCAACAGTGAGGTGTCCAGGTCCCCTTCCCGTTAGTCCTCTCAGACTCTTCCCTCTACAAACACCACTGAGCATCAGAAGATGCAATGAGCAGTGTATGTGAAACATGCAGTGTGTCCTGCTGAATAACATTCAGGGCTGTGTGGGCTATCACAGGCACCACATACTGAGCAGTAGCCCTGGCCCCTGGTAGCACCTCTAGCCACTAAGCAAAGGTAACCATTTTCACCAGAAACTATGCCTCTCCCCATTTTATAGATTACAAAACAAAGGCTCAGAGTTGCTTACAGTTACAAAAGCAGGACAGGCAGAGCTGGCATTGCACTGGTGAGTGGCCACCACACCCAGAGCTCCTATTAGGTGACTTGTCCCTTCCTTCCACCTATCTTCCCCAGCCCTGGGTGCCCTCATCCTAAGATTTTCATCCTGCTTCCAGAGTCTGCTTTGCCCTCAGCAGCTGCAAGAACAGGAGAGCTAATGCCTTCGAGAGCAAGCTGCTTCCCACCAGGGACTGCCACGAAGGTAGTGTACCGATACCCTAGCCCCATCACCTATACCTGGGGTGACATTGAGGTATCTCCTACACCCACTTTGGCTCCCGAGGTTTCTGAATAGGACTGGGCCCCACACCACAGTGGTAGCCTGCTTAGTGCTCACGCGGTACACACTGCTGGCCTTACTTCCCACTCTCCACGTGGAGTTCCTGAGCTCCCCTACTAAATAAGCATGTAGGCTCCTGGGTATCTCTACCCTCCTTACCAGCCCATAGCTGATGTTGTTATATCTATCAGACATCAAGGCCCAGAAAGCTCAAGAGACTCATTGAAAGATGCTCAGCTCAGTATTGAAATCTGCCCTGCTGTGGTGCCCCGGCCCTGTGATTCCAGCACTAGAAAGCCCAGACCAGAGAATGGCAGGTTAGAGGCCAGCCTGGACTACAGGGTAAGGACACTGTGAGTTTGAGGGCAGGCTGGACCATCTAGTATGAGCCTGTTTCCACAAACAAAACAGGTGCTTATACCACCAACTCCTGTTCAGATTTTTCACACCAGCGTTTTAGATGCTGGGCCCCAAGTTAGAGGACAGGTGCCAGGCACTGTGCCAATGTGAACAACTTTAGCTTTAGAGCAATCCTCCCAAAGATGGGGTGAGGCTGTGAGCATGGATGGAGGTCCACATAGGGCTGTGCTGCACAGGAAGGTCACCCCTGGAGACTAGGCACAGCTGTTCACTGTAGTTCTGAACCGGGGGGGGGGGGGGGGGGGGGGGGAATACACTAAAGTTTCTCCCAACTTCAGTAGACTCATCTGCCAAAGGCCAGATGAGAACACACTCTACCATAGCTTCTGTGGTTCCTGCTGACCCCCATGGACAGGCCCCTCCACCCTTCT